CTCCCTGTTGAGCTGTCCCATCCCCCAAGAACCCAGCAGCCACATGCAATGCTGGGGACAAGTACCTGCCCCCGAGTAACATGTGGGGCTGTGCTGGGAAACAACAGCCTGTGTTTGATCTTACTGCTGCTTCACCAGGGGTGTTTTCCCATGGGTTTGTTGGTAGAGTTGCTCTTCTAGGATCATGTTGCCTTTGAGTCATGGCTTCATAATTCCATATATTTGCTGTGAAGCTCTAGATAGTTTTAGTCCAGCGTTCTCCCCACTCCGCATGTGACTTAACACCTCTGAGCCATGACCTGTCTGGGATGAGGTGTCTTTTCCTACATGTCTGGCAGGAGATACCACCAGGCCTTAGTTATTCATTAGGAGCCAGACTTCCCAAAGAGTTAACCAGCCACAGGGGTGCTCAGCATGCCAGAAACAAGCCCAGAGGAACACACCGCTGTAAGGAGGTGTCTTAAGTACTGTGGGTTGGGAAACTGTTCTGTTTCTCAGCTGGTTTGCAGGACTCCTCATCAGGCTGACACTGGAGAGTTTGGTTTCAGTTGAGCTAAACTGGATACCAGCTACATACTGAATTGGGATTTGTAGAGCACCTAGCACAGCTCTCAGGAAAAGCTTGGGGTGCTATTGTAAAGGTAATGAGCGCCCTACAGCATTTGAGTCAGTGCTTTGAAATATTCACTGCTTTCTCCTACTCCTCCTGCCCAGAACATGAATGCATCCGCTGGCAACACCAGTGCATCCAACAACCAGTTGGATGTCACAGAGGAGGTGGACAAGAAGGGACCTGTAAAGGAGCGCCCAGACTCTGCTGCAAGTGACAAGGAAGACAAGAAAAAGCACAGCAAGGTTCCCCTGACAGATGCCTGCCCCGTGGTGGTGCTGGACCCAGAACAGGAGGAAACTAAAACCAAGACCCAGAGTGACAGTGAGAACAACTTGGCCCTGAGGTTTAAGATCTACGAGGCATCGCAGAAGGATGTCACCCATATTTTGTCATCCTGGGACAGGGTTCAGGGTATCCTGCTGTTCCCTTTGAACCAAGAGGAGATGCAGCCTCAAGCAGAGCAGCGGCGCCAACATTTATCCAGCTACAGGGCCCGGAAGAGCAGAGAGAAGGAGCGTCTGAAAAAGCTGGAGAAAGAGCGCCTGGAGAAGGAGCGGCTGGAAAAATTGAAGGCTTTTGAGGACTCAAAGTTATCTCTGCTGGAAGGGGAAGGTGCAGAAAGGTCAGCCAGAGACCAGGACATCGGGGTGCCCTGCTTGGACATCCAGGTGCTGCACTCAGAAGATGTGACCAGGATGATCCTGGAGAGCAGCAAGCTGCCAGCAGCAGAACAGGTAAAGCCCTGCAAGGCTCAGGTGCTGAGCCTGCCATGGCCTTACGCCTTGGTGCATTGTGTCCCACCAAGTAAGAACGGCACGGACCTGTGTCCAGGCCACTGATAATGTTCCACAATGTCTCCACAGCAGCCATGTGGCTGGGGAGGTTCTCACCATCCCTCAGAGGGGAAGAAAGAGGGAGTGCTTTCTCTACAAGTATTCTGTTTGTTCAGAGAATTTCCTAGTCTGGAAATCACTACAAATGGCCCCAGGCCAATGCAGCTCATGGTCATTGCTTCCTTCAGCTGAGTCACTCAAGGAAGAAGTTTCTCTCTAGGTCCCTCTTGTAGGTCCTGGCACTGCTCTGGGCCCACCAGAGCACCACCCTGCTGGGCATAAAAAAGCACTATACTCCATAGAAATAAAAAAACCCCAACGTTGCCAAAACCTCAGCACCTTTAAGGAGGGAGTGTGAGGACGAAGGTGGTGGGAGTACAAACAGAGTTTTCTCTTGTGCTTTAGATCCTGGATGACCTGGGGCTGGGTCCCTCAGGGCCTCCCATTCCCCCTACCGCTCTGTACTCTGTGATCCACTACCCGGAGAAGCGGATGGCCCCCGCAGTAGGAGAAGCCCTCAAGCATTTTGTCTTTGTTGTGCCAGAAGGTGCCACTTCAGAAGAAGAAAAGAAAACGGAAAGTCTCTTCCTGGATGTTCCTGTTGTGCCCACAGTGAAGGTGCCAGGGCAGGGTGCAGGCTGGACGGGGGGACATGAAGGATGGCAGATGGGATGGAAAAGAATAACTGGGTAGTGAAGATGTGATGGGCTGCCATGTCTGCAGGCATCCCTTCTGCTGTCCAAAAGAGACAGCTCTGCTTGAGACATAGGATGGTTCTGTAAGATGAGAGAGAAAAAATATCACCTGAAACCCCCAACTTCCCTTGAGGAGAGGATCCTGGGTGAGGAGAGGTGTCGTAAGCAAAACAAAGTCCGATGAGGAAGGCCAAGTCCTTGGGCAGATGCAGCTGCTTATTTATTCTCTCTCCTGTTTGTCATCCAGTGTGCAGCTTTCTCTCCAGGAAGGGGATGTCTCAGGGCAGGTTTCACCTCTCTCTCCATTTTCTCTCTCCCCTTGGTGCTAAGACCTCAGAAGAGCAGATCACCCCCACCAAGAGCCAGTCAAGGAAGGAGAAAGCCGCGGGCAGCCGGGAGGCTGTGAGGGAGAGGCGAGGCTCCAGCCGGGGCAGGAAAGGTGCCCAGGGGCTGGGCACAGCAGCACCCGCCCGTCCCCGCAAGGTGCGCCGAAGTGGCGTGGACATAGTCCCCCCCCCAGCGACGTGCGCCAGGAGGTGAGGTGTAGGGGAGGAGGTGATCCCCTGCTTCATGGCCATCTTGCCAAGTGAGGTCCATCATCCCTAACTCCTCAGGGATCCTATGATGATGCCTCCATGGGATGGCGAACCCACGATCCTCCTCCTTGTCCTTCATTAGCAATATCTGAAGCCTCCTCTTTAATTGCCAGGCTGAGCAGCTGCCGGTGGATAGTGCCTGCCCATGGTGAGGTGAAACTGAAGGTCTTGTTCAGCTCCACGGAGGTTGGCCAGTTTGCTCAGGTGCTGCATTTTGAGATCCTGGGGACAAACCGACTGTACCAGCTGCACTGCAGGGGCACCTGCCTATATCCCACCATCAGCCAGGACCCACGGTAAGGCTGGTCCCTGGGAGCGTCCCTCACTGATTCCCACTGAACTCAGAGCCAGGGCTGCCCCATGTTGCCCCAGTTACCTTCTGACTTGTGCAGAGCGTGCTGCTTGAACCACCCAGCATCTTTTCCCATGCTTGGAACTGGGAACCAGTACTTGTACCTCAGCCACCAATAGGGGTTTTGGCTTTCTGACCATGTTTTCTACTTAGAGCATCTCACAGTTCCTCATTCAGAGACTGTTTTCTCTGCCCAGCGTGGTGTTCCCTCACCAGAGGAAGAGCAAGGCAGATGATGACATCGTCTTCAAGCAGTACATCATGGACATGGGTGTATTCCACTTTGGACCGCTGCTGTGTGGGAAGTCAAGAGAGTGGTATGTGCTCCTCACCCCCTGTGAACATCCTGATGCACAAAGAGGGATGTTGGGATGGGATCCCCAGGGCCTTGTGCTCTCACAATCATGCTTGAGGCATGCTGTCCCAGTGGCACAGTTCAGGGCAGGCCCAGGCAGAGACCCAGGAGATAGATACAAGGGGTTGAAGGATGATGGGTGTGTGAGCATCTGACAGGCACATTGGTCTTGGAGGAGCTGGGCAGAGATAGCGCTGATCTTCCTACCTGGTGGGTGCCTTGGTGTCCCCCCTCCACATCTCAGCTTTACCACCTCTGAAATAAACTTTACGGTGCTTTTTTCAAGTGCTTTGTGTTCCTATAGATACACTGAATGAGCAATTATTCTGCTGATGGTTTTGTAAACCATTCCTTAGTCTGTAATATTAGTAAGACTTTATGATTTGACCTGCCAACATGGGGGAGGGGGTACGTGTGGTGGGCTGCAAAGGAATAAAAATGGGAATTACATTTTCCTGATCCTCACTGCCAGATGAAGTCTGCCTAAAAATGTTACCATTGTAGCATGTAACTTCTGTTTAAATATTAGAAATGAAGTTCCTGTCTTTGTGGGAGCTCTGCAGAGCTAGTGGTATTTTGCCAACCCAAGGAAGTTAAATCAAAACAGTTTAAAAAAGAAAATAGGATCTTTAGCCAGGCTGATGAATGCTTTTGGGTCTGTTCATGTTCTTAGCTCTTTAGCTCCAGATTATGTTCCACACCTGAGAGAAGGGACACAGTTAAATTTAGCATTCCTCTTGGGGGTGAATCCTTTCTATTTCCCCCCTCCAGGCTTTGAGCTAACTCATAAAATACAAGGCAGTCTTGTAACTTTTTTTGAAAGAGATAAGCTAAACTATTCTTAAAACCTTTTTCAAAAGCATTTCTTTGTAGCCTGCAGGGAAGGAAATCTAACAAAGAAGGGGGAAGAACCCATGTGCCTGGTGTACTTCTATTTTTGCCTTTGAATTGATATTTTGTAAAATGCTCTTTAAGTGGTCTGTGCATCGTCAGGCTTCTGGGATGGAGGCACCAAGTATAGGGCAGACATCAAAACAGCACAAGGATGAAGACACAGATCATTCAACACACCCCTGGAAGTGGTCCTTAGCCTGCTTGTTAGACCATGGTCTTCCAGTGCAGCCCCCTGCTGCTGGGACATGGTGCTTTCCTCAGTGTGTTTCAAAGGCACCGGTTTCCTCAACAGCATTTTCCCCTCTTGTGGACAGGTACAAGGCACTGCCCCATCCCAGCAACTGTGAGAAGTTCACCATCCTCAACATCACCGCCTTGGAAGCAGAGGTGCATTTCTGCTTTGAGCATGATCTCAAAGCGGACACGTTCCTTTTAGACCCTCCCAGCATGAAGCTGAAACCCAATGAGAAGCAGGTAGGAGATGTGCGGGTATGACAGGCACAGGTAGAAGTGCCCAGGACCTGTTCCTCCTGCTCACTGAATGCTCTTCTGTGTTTCTTTTTGCGGGGATGGAACCAGGAGCTGGGCATTTGGGCATACCCCACTTCAGCTGGCCTTGTGGAAGACAACCTCATCTGCTCCATTAAGGGCAACCCAGAGACAGTGGTGTTCCGCCTGTGCTGCCAGGGGGTGCAGGTGGAGCTGGGGGTCAGCCCCAGGCAGGTGCATTTTGACAGGCTGCTGCTGCACAGGTCAGTCATCCCACCCCACAGGCTCTTCTCAGATGGAAGGCTGGCTTCTTCCAGCAGATCCCACTCTCTCGCTTACCATTCTTTGCTGGCTTGGATATCCCACGAAAGCCACAACCTCTGTAGCCCCACAATGGTGCTGTGCAATTGGCATCCTGATGCGTTTGTATCTTGGCTGCTGGTTCAGTGAGCAGTCCAGTTGCTCCTCCTTATCTTCTTTATGTTGGATATACTTTTAGCACCCAGGTCTCCCCCAGGACCTCACCTCTGAGACTTGTGGCAAAGAGAAAATGTTTAACTACGGTTTCTGATGCGGGGATGAGGCTGCTCCAAGCTGCAATCAGTTGCAAGGCTGGCATCCCAGTCAAGCAGCCAGTGCTGAGTGTTGTTTTCTCTCTGCAGGAAGGACAGCAAGACCCTGGTCCTGCAAAACCGCACCCCTCTGCCTGTGGCCTGGCGACTCAGTGGGCTGGAGAACCTCAGCAAGGACTTTTCAGTGTCTCAAGCTGAGGGCATCGTTGGTCCCTGCACAGAGTTTGGCGTGCATCTATATTTCAAGCCCGTGAAGGCTCTCAGCACTAAGAAGACAATCCGACTAGAGGTGAGGGGGACTGTGGCCTCCCTGGCAAAGCAGGGTGATCAGCCTTGTGCTCTTAGGGATGGAGACTGTGTTTGAAGGGTACCCTGCAGAGAGGGTAAAAGAATGAGCCTTCATGAAATTCCTTTCTACCTGCATTGCTGGGTAACCAGGCCCTGGTTGTCCAAACTTTGGTGTGCTCCTTGAACCCATACTGGAGTCTGTCTGGGGTTCTTAACACAGAGCATCGAACTCTCACTTGGAATGCTGCTCCACATGGTTTAGGAGCTACATTTCAGTGAGGGTGCTGGGTGATCGAAGAGGAGAGGGTTGGTTGTCAATGCCACCTGCTCCGGGACAGCTTATACTTGTTGTGGTTGTTTTTACGTGCCTCCCATGGTGCTTTAGCAGCAGCATTCCTTGCTGTAGGAGAGCAGAGCTGGGCTGATAGGATTTGTTACTGCAGCCATATCCCGCTGGGTCAGCCCATGAGATGAACAGGTTAGGAAAACCTGGGAGTCCACAAACACTTGGCAAGCAGGGAAGGCCACAGTGGAAACAGCTGTCAGAGACAAGGACTCATATGTTGTCTACCAAAAGAATTGAGGAAAATGGTTTAAGCAGTGTTTGTTTCTTGCTGCCTCAGGTTTCAGACGCAGAAAATGAACTGGGGGTCGTTCACACTGAAAATATCCAAGTCCTTGCAGAGGCCTATGATGTTGCTCTGAACATCAGCGTTTCTAAAGGTCAGTGGATGTCCCCAGACAAAGTACTCCCGTTGCATTGCATTGTGTTGGCAGGCAGGCAAGCTAAGCACTTGGTATGTAGGATGAGGTGGCATGCAGGTGCAGCACGGATCTGCAAAGCACGTATCCTGCAAGCTGCTTGGAGTAAAACACTGCCAGGACACAGCCAGCCTTGAGTCTCTCACCTCTGAGTTTTGAAGTGTGCAGCTTCATGTGCAGATTGATATATCTCTTGTCACTCGGTGTAGTCTGCAGCAGATCATAAATATTCCTCATTTCTTACCTCACACTCTGGGTTTGCTGCAGGTACAGATGGCAGCGTGGATTTCGGAATCCTTAAAGTCTTGGAGGATGCAAAGGAAGTGCTGACTCTGAAGAACAAAGGGAAGTATGAGATTGTGTACAGGTGGGTCCAGTTGCCTGCTCTGTGAATGCATGGTGCCATCACCTGCCTTCTCCTCCTGCCCATGGCTAGAACCTGTTCCTATGTTTGGCTACATCATGGTCTGGCAAATACAAAACCTGGGCTCTCTGATCTCAAATATTTTAATACAGAATCCTGCCAAACACCATTCACAGCTCTGCAAGAACCAGACGGAGAGACCCCCAAATTTAAGCCACTCGCTGCTGAGATTCATTGCTTTCTGTTGTGGGTTGGCTCATCTCTCTTAATGAGACTCTTTCAAGGAGGGAATGAAAAAATGCAGTGTCAGTGTTAGCTTGCAACAGTCGTGATTGTCTCCACTCTGTGTCAAGATTTGGGAACCCCTGAGCAGAGCTGGTCTCTTTGCGCTTGATATCTTTTTATAGTGCTGTGCACCAGTCCTGGCTGCACTGGTGGCCCCTGGACTTCTAACTGCAGCGGTTTTGTTCCTTCCCTTTCTCCCCAGTTTCAAGCTGGACACCACACATACCAGCATACCTGACTTGGCATCCCACTTCACTGTCCAGCCGCAGCGGGGTGTGCTGGCTAGCTCAGAGCGCTCTGTGCAGGTCCAGCTGCTCTTCCACCCCAAGGTGGAACTTAGCATTGAGGACAAGCCCATCCTGCAGTGCCAGGTGAGCTGCCTGGGCCAGGTGATGGTAGCACGCTGTGGCTGGGGAGTGGGAGCAGTACATGTGTCTTCTGGAAGGAGGGCTTTAGCTGGGGAATCCTCTCTCACATTTATATGACTAAAGTCTTTCAGAAACCATTTGTGATGTTTCCTGAGCAGAGCTGAAAATCCAGCTCACTGGGAGACATTTAAAAGGGATGGCGAGCTGATGGGGACCTGGGATGGGATCAGGGGACAGAGATAGAGGCTGGCATTTTTGCTGTATTTACCAAACCCTCCTCTGGTTGCAGGTGATTGATCCCAACATCTGTGAAGAAGGTGAGACCATCGCCATCATCCCAGTGAGGGTGTCAGCAAAAGCTGTGTTCAGCAAGTACAGCATTCACCCTGCCTCGCTCATCAGCTTCGGTGCCATGGTGAGTGGCACCAGGAAAACCTGCAGCTTCATGCTGGAAAACAAAGGCATCCTTGAGTTTAAGTTCCTCATCTGCCAAGAAGACCAGGCTGCACCTCTATCGCCAAAGAAAAGGTGAGAGGAGACCTGTACCACCCTTCCTGCCTGACGAGGCACCATGGCATGGCTGGAGTGTGACAGGCAGCCAGGACACATGGGCTTGTGAACAGGGAGCAGAAAAATGCCTCAGTATCCCCACGTGTAGGATGAAGCTGGTGATACAGTTGACTTATCTATAAGCTTCAGCTCTAGGTGCTGCAGGCAGCCCTCTGGGAGTAACCAGGAGCCTGAAGGCTTTCCTCCACAGGGAGGAAGGTCAGCTTCAGCCTCTGAGAAAGGTAGGGGGAGCGATGCATGATGGATGTTTCTGTTTTCTCCTCTCAGTGTACCTCAGATGAAATCTGCCCACTCCCAGGAGAGTGAAGATGGAAAGCCAGTGGTTCTGTCAGCCAAGCCGAGCAAGCGCTTGTTGCAGAAGGACACAAACCCCGTCCCACAGGTGGGTTGTCCCTGCTCCCCAACACATGCTGCTGCAGGCAGGGGGCTCGTCACCATGGGATGGGGCATGGTCCAGTGATGGAGGGCGATCATCTCCCAGCCACAAGCAGAGGCAGGAGCTGCTCAGTCCCACAGAGAGTCCCATGCCCAGGTCAGACCTGGAGCTTGTGGGGTCAAAAGAGAGGAGCAGGTCCTGTGTTTGGTAGCTGCTAGCCAAAATAGGCGTGTGAATACCACATAGCGGAATGTTCCTGTTTGGACTCCCAGTCCACAGATATCAGATGAGCTTGATTTTTCTTCTTCCCATCACTCTTCTCATCTCCCATGATTTCTTACAGTTTTCTGCTCTCCTGTTTTACCCCAAGAGGCTGAAGAATCCCTGATGCCACCTTCACCCTTTACACCCAACTTCCTTTCTCCTCACTCGGGGCAAGCTTGCAGCTCCTCCTAGCTTGTTCATCTCATCCTGCCTTTGGGGCTGCCTTTGAGCTATGGAGTCATCCCTCCCTGCCCTGGGACTGGGGGCTTGGGCCTGCCTGGAGGTGAAGGAGTGGCATGCTTCTTTTTGGGGATGCTCAAGGTAAGGTTGTTGATCTGCCTCTCTTTCTGCAGGCTCGCCTCACCCTGGGCATGTTCACGGTGTACCCAGGCTTTGGCACCATCCCTCCTGGGGGCCAGCAGATGATCACAGTGGAGTGCTGTGCAGAGCCACTAGGGACATGCAAGGAGCTCCTGTCCATCGATGTCAGCGACAGAGACCCCAGGGATAATCCCTTTGGCATCCCCTATACCCTGTTTGCTGAGTCCTGCCTTCCAGGTATGCCCTGTCCACAGGTGCATGTAAACTTATTGCTTGGATAATTGCTTGCACCCTGACCTTGAAGTCCCATCTTAAAATCCTCAGATGTTCCAGTATATTTCATGTCCACCAGTGAGGAGAGGCTGGGGGGGATGCATGGAAGGGTAAAACGAAATCAATGCCCATTAAAACCAAGGGTGACTGAGCTCTATCCTCACAGCCAACTCTCCCACCTAAGGCTGGGTTTTGAAGTGACTTGGGCAGAAAGGGCTCATCAAGCCTTCTGAGTGGCCAACAGGGCCCAGATAAATTCAGCAGGTCGCCATCCTCGGCACTCTCTCTGATCTGCTTGCAGCATTTGTGGTTGATGACATAGAGTCCATCTTTGAGGAGCATCGAATCTGCAGCAACAACAACCTCTGCCACATCCTGCAGACGGTGCAAGACAAGGGCATCTTCATCACAGATGAGAACAAGTTTATCTTCACTGATGTTCTGGTTGGGCACCGGGCCACAGCTCGCTTCAAGATCTGCAATGTGGGCAAAGTCCCCTGTGACGTTGTCCTATCCCTCAAACCCATCCCCAGTAAGGTAAGGACAAGAGGCCAAGGTGACAGTTGCTCTTTAAAGGCTGTGTGATACCCTGCCTCATTCTCCAGATTCATTGCTTCCTCTTGCCCAGGCTAGTCCAACACTGTGCAGGTCAGACTACGGGGGAGTGCAGAAAGGCCGGGGTGACAGTTGGGTTGAATTCAGCATCTCTCATGCAAGGTTTTGGCTCACCCCTCTGTGTCTTTGGTAGGACACCTGAACCCTTCTGAACATCTCTTGGAAGCATGCTCAGATGGGGGCTTTTACTGGACTGTGCCTGGGCTCAAAGCAGACCGTTTTCTTGGTCTCCCTGGTTTTTTCTTCTCTTTAAAGGCCAGTTCTAGGCTATTTGCAGGGTTTCCCATGCAGTCCCCACTTCCCATCTATCCTGGGATTACTGTCCAGAGCACAAAGCAAGCTTTTGCAGTTCAGGCCTTTATGGCAGCTCCCCGTGCAAGGTCAGCACCACTCTGAGATGAAGGAGCCTGTCCAAGGAAGGAGGGAGGAGACATGCTGCGTGGGGCTGTTCCCAGTGATGCATGTATGAATAACACTGCAACACACCTCCTATGTTTCCTCCTAACACCATTCTGTGGTGTTCCCAAGCTTAACAACCGTGTTAGTGACGTTTTCGAGGTGGATCCTGTTCGGATGTGCGTTCCCAGCTGCTCCCATGCCTTTGCTACGGTGGCATTCACTCCCCAATCGATGCAGACCTACGAGTGCACTTTTGAGGCTTCCCTTGATGTCCGGGCAAGGTAACTCACCCTGTGGAGGGAACCCTTCTGACAGCTGCCTCTCTTCTGGGAGGACACAGACCTCTTGTTAAACCTAAGGCTTTCACTAGCCTTAGGTAAGCTTAGCATTGAATAATATAGGAGGCAGTAGCTACTAGATATAGCAGAAAAGAAAAGTAAGGGTGATAGTTTAGCCAATGTGAGTGATCATGAAGACAGTGCAACATGAAGTAGCCAACTGGAAGTGACTGGATCAGAAAAAAATGGAGATGTGCAACAGCTGAGCTGGGGCTTTCCAAAGACAAGGGATTAGATGAAAATCAGATGCCAGCAAGTCAGCATGCATTATTTTCTCCCTATTTATATTAAAATGATATGATCCATGTAGTTACCTGGGGTATATTAAGCTATTTTATGTTAACGGGGCATTTAGACCCCTTATAAGAGGGGAGCCCAGTTTCCTCTGTCCCAGGACCTATGTACCAGGACTCTGACATGCCCAACCCTTTGGTCACTTAAGTGGGACTAGATAAGTCAGCTTTCTGCCCTAATGAGCAATTTTTTAGTGTCCTTGGAAATAATCTGTAGTGATGGTGTTATTTATTTATTTATTTTTCCCTTCTTGTTTTCACACTACTTTCATGCTGTACTTGTGCCTTTTTGTGTATGTCTCCTATCACCACAGCCAGTGCATTTGCTGCGTCTCATCCATTTGCTCCTTAATTTATCTGTTGTACTGTGTGAGTGAAATTACGTGTTATGTTAGAAGGCTCTGGCTCTTCAGAGCCATTCCTTTTGTGAAGGGCCCTGATTAGATGGGGAAGAGAAGGGTGAGGGGGAGTTGTGTCATGGGGAACAGAAGTACGAGCCAAGGCAAACATAGTGGATAGCCTTGCTTCATGGCTTGCCCAGTGGGAAACAGGTTAGTAGTGCTTGCTGTGGTGATTCCTCCTCTGCCTCTCCTGCAGCCGTACAGCAATGAAAGCACAAAACCTGATCTTTGATATCAGTGGAGATGGGAATCTGCCTCGGGTGACGGTCCTGTGCCCAGTCCTTCACAATAAGAGGGGGAACCCTCTGATGCTCTTCAAGAAGTTGTTGCTGGGTGATTCAGAAAAACTCCCTCTGGTCCTTCATAACAGTGGCATCATACCTGTCCAGGTGAGTACTTACCATGGGGCTGCTCTGGTCTGGGAACAAGTGCTTGTTCCACAAAGAAAGGTCCCAGAAAACATGGTAGGTGTGGAAACAGGTCTTGGGAATGTCTGTTTCCAGGAAGGGAGTTTCAGAAATGCGATGTTCACATCAGCCTGTCCTTTTCAGTTAAACACAACACCAGAAAGTTGGTGGGGTATTTTTCCCCCATCTCTCTTCTCATGTTTTGGTTCTCATGTGGGCACACATGATGTCCTAGTTACATTAGATTGTAGTTGATCCTCTTTTACTACAATTTAATTAATCTCAGTTGCAGTTTAATTAAATTCTGCTCATTACTTTTAGTACTTTCTGTCCTTTTTGGTTGTATTTTAATTACATCGCAATGCCTCTGAACACTTTTTTTTTCCCCTTCCTGTCTGATTTTGCTTAAACTTCGTGCTAAGAGCTGTTTGTGAAGGCAGAGGCTGCTGGACTCCCTGTGCTAGACCAGCAGCAGTACAGTGTTAATCCACATGCCATCCTGTACCCACACCAGTGTGGTCGTGCTCTGTGTTCCCTTTCCTCAGCTAATGATTGACCTGTTGGATGAAGGGGGAGTTTTCTTCTTGAAAGCCAGGCCCACCACACACTGTATCTACCAAGCTGCAGACATGAAGGACTCCCCTGAAGAAGGTAAATTCATAACCATGAAGTGGGGTCATCCACACAGGGAAAATGTGTGCCCTGCTCTTGGCTTATCCAAGCAACAGCCAGATGTTAGAGAGAGTTTCTTTCCTGGGGTGCTCTGTACCCCTAGTTTTTCATGTGGCCTCTTTGCGGGGTTTCCTCCTAGCAAGTTGTAGGAAGTTTTTCTGTTCCAGACATGGTGGGTTGAGCTGTGGGGGACTATCACCAAATCAATGGGCTATCTGAGGTTTTTGCTGCACGTGGGAGCTTACCAATCTGAATGGAGGCAGCCTTTCAGCCCACAGCCAGCCAAGAAAAGCCAAAACCACTCTTTGACTCAGCTTTATGTAACTCCTGCTCCTCCAGGCAGGAGCTGGCTGGATGCAGTTTGAGTGAGAGTTGGGTCTCTTAAGTTAAGACACTTAAGCAGCGATATGCATGGTGGTGTCATAGTCTTGTGAACATAGCAGAAGAACATTGTGAACACCATGGGAGAGCCTGCAGTTAGAGGCAGCTGAGTTTCAACCTCTTACTCCTCTTCATACCCCATGGAGCTATTTCCCCTGTATACCTCTACCACTTGTCTCTGATTTCCATTGTTATATAGGCAGGAAGCCTCACACCGCTGCCCTGGTCCTGCATCAAGGGGAATCAGCAGAGTTTGATGTGCTTTTCAAACCCACCCTGGCACAACATGTGAGAGGGAAGATCCACCTATCAGTGGTGGACAACCCGTATGAAGAGACCAGCATTCAGCTGTTGGGTGAAGGCTACGAGGACGACTTCACGCTGGATAACATCCATGGACTAGTGTCAGACAACAAGGAAGAGAATGCTGAGGGCGGTCTGGACGAAGACATAATTGAGGGTAAGAGAGGAGAGGCTGTCAAGATGAAGCAAGGATTAGGAAAATACACATCTGCTCACCTTGTGACAGCGCAGGTGTGGTCCAGCCTTCAGGAACAGCTCTGCTTGCCTTTTGTAGCCTGCAGAGTAGCCATACATGAGAACACAGGGGAAGATCATCTCAAGCAAGAATCTTGCAGGCTAGCAGGGAAGGGTCAGAGATGCCAGCATTCAGCTCCTACCTCTGAAAGGAGGTCTGCCAGCCCATTGTCTGTTATTGAATTGAAGACCGTGTGTGGTAATTTGTGCCCTCTGTGTAACCAGGCCTGTGCTGTTGCCCACGGGACCAGGTGGCCTGTGAGCATGCCAGCTGCATGCACAGACGCAGTGCATGCGGTACACATGTCTCTCTGCACAGCACAGCCACAGGTTTAGGGACACGTCAGGGCATGTCCCTGAAAGTGGCAGGATGGAGAACTTCATCTCCCAGCGAGAGGGAGGCTTGGAGCAAGGAAGAGTGGGACATACATATGTCTGTGCATGTGAGGGGTCAGATGGACCTCGCTGCATGCTGAGACCTCTTGTTCTCATTCTTAGCAGCTGCCAGAGTGGATCACATCCAGTTTGGGGACTGTCACATCGGGACACCCTACACTGTGACCTTCACAGTCAGCAACCGCAGCAAGCTGGAGGTGCTGCGGTTTGAGTGGCTGGCAGAACCCCCGTTCCACTTCTCCCCCCAGGTGAGCTGGGACAGCTCTGCCTCTCCCTGTTGCTCAAGCCCTACCCCGTGGGTTCCTAGCAACTAGCAGGGAGTCACCATGGACTGGTAAAAGGAAGTTCCAGTGCCATGCAGGAGATGCAATCCCTGGCTTTGCTGGGGCAGAGCCATCAGCCCTGCAGTAAAGACTCTGTGTTACAGGGTGCAGCATCTTTTGTTTGTACTCTCCTCTGTCAAACCTCAGATAAAGACACAGTAAGATGCAGGTTCCTGGCACATCTGCTCACTGAATTGGTCCCTTTGCTGTCGGTCCTGCCCTTGCCAGTGATTCCAGTTTGGTCTTGGCTCTCTGGTTCTCCCTAGGTGGGACACCTCCACGCTGGCTGTGCTAAGGACATCACAGTGACACTGAAATCGGATGTCGCGGTTGCCTTCAAAATGCACCCTGTGAAGTGCAAGGTGATGAGGATCGCCTTCCCGCTGCCACCAGAGGAGGTGATGGACTGGGATGACCGCCTGCACACCATCAAGTGGGTGGATGCCAGCAGGGACTCAGCAGCCACGTGGCCGGTGAGGAAGGTAAGAAGCACAATAGCAAAAGCTCTTGAGCTTCTACAAAAAGAACTGACGATGGCAGCAGACAGGCATCTCTGCTGGCCAAGAAGCTCCTGCTTCCTCCTTTATTTAATCCATACCGGGAGGTTAAACAACAGTGTGTTTTAGAGGAGAGGTGGATGCACAGTGACCTGACATGCTCACAAAAGATGGGGAAGTCTTTTGGCAAGAGATGTTTAGCCACATGCAAACCATCAGTCTCTGCCAAAGGCTGAAGTGTTGCAGCATGTGTTTAATGGGAGGTCACACTTTCTGATTTCATTGCATTTTATGGTATTAAAATGTCTTCCCTGATTCAGTGCCTTTTCTCCAAGAAATTAAATTCACTGTGCTCTGTCTCTTGGAAGTGGAGAGCAGCACTAGTGCTCCTCTCTGTATGCTTGGTAACCCACCAGCATGTTGTGTGAGCGCTGAGCTCTGTCTACAGTGACACCAGAGATTTTGATTGTGGTCTCTGTATCGTGTGGGATATCTCATTATGGAGCAGCCCAAGCACTGTAGGGCAATCATGCAGGAGTCATCTCCAGAAACTCTTGCTTCTACTATCATTATTGTCAAACTTCTTCCTCATCAGAGCATCAGCAGTCCTAGTGAATACATTCCCAACCCAAAAATACCTGTCTCCAGCCCCCACTGCTGTGACTGTTGCCCAGCGTGACACCTGGAAGGCAGTTTCTCATAAGGCAAGAAGGAAAAGGTGCTTTCTAGGTTTGTTCAGTCTTGGAGGTCTCCATCCACGGAGCTCCTGCAGGGGAACTCATTCCTAATTTAGAGGCCTTCTGGGATTTATAGGGGCCAGGAAAAAGGTCAGGCACTCTACAGGGATGAAACACAGGGACTGATACCCGGTCATAGGCCCCATGAGTGTACAGAGTCATGGTGGTGCTTGCTTTGATCAATAGGTAGAAACAAATAGGCAGCAGAAGGGTCAATTTTTTTCATCTTTCCAGGGAAATAAATAAGAATGGTCCTTTCTAGCCCCTATATGTGATTTTAAGGCCGAAAGAATCCCTGCTCAGCCTGGCTTTCTGGGCTTTGCTTAATGATTCTTCTCTTTCCTCTATGGAGGTGATCAAGACAGACCCAGAACCAGCTCACACTGTCCTGGGGAAGAGCAGCCGCGAGGTGGAGCTTCACCTCAGTGCTGTCGTTGACTATGCTGAGTTCCAGATGGATATGAACGTGATTCAATTCAAGGAGACCTTGCTCTTCCAGACAAGGACATTCACGTGAGTGCTGAAGGCCAGGCAGGGACCTGCAAGTGGGAGCTGCCTTTCCCACAGCTGACCCAGCATCTGCTTCCCCAAAGCTGTGCTGTGTTCTCTGGTGGCCTCTGCTTTTCCTTCTACTCATGGTCCTGTGCCAACAAAAGTTCCACTGACATATTTATTGCTCAGCGACTTAATAAACCTCTTCTAATTTCTAACAGGCTGACCAGCCTTGGAGAGGGTGCTGCTGCCTGCTGGTTCTTGAGGTTTCAGTTTCCATATATCCTGGGGTACTGGAGGTCTCCCACACGTGGATCTGAGTCCCTACCTAGGACTTTATGTGCCATCTCATCTGCTGTTCTTCCTTTGAAACAAGTCATTTATTGTTTCATCCTTTCCGGGTCCTGGCTAAGTGCCAAGACCCACATATCTGCATACAAAGCCAAGCTGGAGATGGTAGACTCAATCCTGCCAAGACATGCCAGGAGAGGTTCTGCTGAGAACCATGGTCTTGCTTTCTTTGCATGTTGCTGGTGGTCATCTGCTTGAGAATGAGTCTGCAGTCAAAATAATGTCAAACTGAGACATAAAGACCAGAATAAGACCCTTGAATTAAGCCTCCTGGGCACCATGTCTGGTTTTTCCTCTTTAATGTCCAAATTTTGAAATACTTTGTCTTGGGGCAGCCCAGGGCAGCAATCCAAACAAAATAGAGAAGCTTGAGGAAGAAGATGCTACTCAGCATAAAGAATGGGTTACTGGGAGTCCACCATACAGCATTACTTTTCTATTTATTTCCTTTGTACTTACTGGATGTTTTCTTTTTATTTCTCTTGTTGAAAAGCAGTTTCCAGCTGTCCAATACAGGGAATGTGGCCCTGGAATACACCTGGATGGCAGCTGTGGAGGATGAAAGAGCAGTGAACCATACCGGGGAGTTGCTTCTGTCCAATCTGAGTGGTAAGGCAACTGGCTTTTGGTGGGAGCTGGGCATGCCCAGGGTGTTTCAGTTGGTAGCTGAAGGCTTGTGGAGAAGTCTGTGCCACTTCACCCCAGAACATCGATTGCTTTTTCATCCCATTCAGTCCAGTCATCTGCTTTCATCAGCATCTTCCCAGCTGCAGCTGGAGACTTTCTCCTTGTCCCCCTCTCTGCCTTTCATAGCCCCATATGCTTGCTCTGACACTTGTGGTCTGCATGGGAGCTGAGCCTGTATCGGGACTGGCAACAGGGAAGTGAGGGCACCTCCTTGGGAAGTCTCTGAGACTGAGAAAACTGATGGTGTAACACTGACTTAGCTGGTCTGTATCACTGTCTGTGTGTGATCCCCCAGTCCAAGGCAAATGCAGTCACTGTCTAAAACTGACCCTCCTAACTCTGGCACAGAAGTGTTGCTGCAGGCAGAGGCCCTGCTCCCAGCATGTTGGAGCTCAGTGGTGGGGCCATGACTCATTAACCCACAGCAACGTGGTTGTGTCTGAGTGTGTGTTCTCCTTAGAGGGCTGCGTGGTTCTGTAAGGAAACAGGGCTGTGTGTCCAAGAGGTCTCATCAGAAACAGGAGTGAGAAGAGCAGTGTTTCCTCGAATGGGCAGCTTTCTGATGGTCAGGATGGGAGACCTCAACCAAAGTCTTTGATGCTCTGAATATGCTTATCTTCCTCCCCTGGGGTCCTGGTGTTGGGTCTTCCCCAGCACAGGGTGCCCCCATGCTGGAGCTGGTCTGCTGGACTGTGACATTAGCTGTCTGGTTGTCAGTTATGAAAGCCTGAGAAGAGGAAAGAGGGAAAGGGTGTGAAGGATAACAGTGCTGTTCCCCGAAGCCTTTTCTCCACCACACACAACAAGCAAAGTTCAGTTCTGCAGGCCACAGGGGAGCAGGACTCAACACTGTCCTTAATGCTAAGCATTGAGGCTGGCTGGGCTGGGATGTGAACAGCACACAGAAATTCTCCCAGATGCTGTAACACAGGTCTCTCTACTGTTACATCCTGGACATGGTTTGGGAATGAACACTGGTCAGAAGTGGTTCTGCAGGAGACTTTTGCATCTAGCTCCCCAATCCTAGAGATGGA